CGTACATACCATGTCAAGAGCATAAAGAACTACATCTAGTAGCCCTATGTCACGACATATTGTCTAACATCATAACCTCATAAGAGGTATCTAATATCCACAAGCTTGAATAGCATGCAACATAGACAAGTACTTAACTCCCCCTGTCATGGATAAATAGTGCTCCTGTTGAAGATGAACACTTAAGTGCCAGATGAAATCACATGAAGTACTTTACATTATTATAGTGGAGGGCTTACAACTTCACACCCTTGTTGGTCACATTCACACACCCTAAAATTAATCCTGATCCAGATACTCTAGCTCCTTGAGAGCACATCCAAGCACCCTAGCTTATTCACTTAACAAGGATATGTCTAATAAAAAGCCTTACAGATCCACACATGTTGCCATGACTCTCTGGATGGCTAAGATGTCATTCACACTAAGTTTGACATTACTCACATACCAAAAAAAACTCTGTTAGCTTGCTTTACAAGATCCAGACTGGCGCAATCTTTTCTAGGGATACTTGTAGCAACAGGCCCCACCTCCTCATAGATTAGATCACTTTATCTAATACTTTTCTCTTGCACCCATTAGTAATTGTTGGTACAAGTGAGTTCTTCAACATGATATAAATAATGGATTTACCATACATCCCACTGTAGATATGATCAGAATCTTTACATCCTACTTCACCCTAGTTAGAAAAGCCACTTATGAACCTAGCGTTGAGCATCAAGTTTCACAGTCATAATCCAAGCATCTCCCAAAACTAATCATCAACAAGCATGATGTTATAACATCATTTAGGAAATCAGTTTCTTATCATAGAAACCATAGAGAGAAACAAACTCTCAGACACTTTCTGAAGCATAATGTTCAGACTTCAATCTTGCTTCAATACATTAGGCAGATACAGAGCTCTCTTCTTTAGTTAAGAAAGAAGTCAAGCACAAAGGATTTCACATCAGTCACATACACAACCTCATGAGAGGAACATTTCCTCACGTCCCTTCCTTCACAATTTCCCTTAGAGGTACAATCAGCAGATAATGCAACCTCCTCACAAATGGTAGACCATTTGGTCTAACATCCTTCTTCTGTAATCCATTAGCACGCGTGGATTCAAACAATTATGACTCATATTAACTCCATAAACCACCCATGGTTTGACTTTACAATATATCATGGTCATACATTCCAATTTAGAATCTCATGATGATCAACAATTCGCGCACCATGAACATCATGAACCACTTTTTTTTAGAAGTAATCACGGGATTTTATCATTTACTATGGTTCTGAAGACAACATACATAGTAAGCCATGCACATCCCTTTGTACGGAACACATGAGAACCATACAACAGTAGATAAATCACCCTCCAAGGACGGATCACAGATATATGCAGCACTCCACATTCTACACTCCTGAGAGTTAATCTTTCAAAACTAACTTATCTCAAGATGGTCTATCTCCATTGCACACAATCCACAAGCCATCAATACTCCCTGATACAATATTGGAGATCTATCCATTAGACTTCCATAAATCATCCTACCTTGGATGTCTTTTCCGTTACAACAGAACAAGAGTTCCATGTTCCCACATGCTTGATAATGATCTCAAGTTTGAGTGAACACCCTTCATCATGTTTAAGAGAATCATCAGATAGCCATCTAGATCATTTACTGCTTAAAAATCCCTTTCTCCAACTCAATTCGAACCTATTCCATTAGAAAAAAGTAACCACCAGCAAGATCACACAAATTTGGTTTCTTTTGATTAGAAGAATCTTTCAGACGTTAGAAAAAATGTCCTCGAAATTTGAACTTGACCTCCATATGTAAAGAAGCTGGTTGAGAAAACGAGTCTCCACTAGAAGTTAGAGCTCAACCACTACACTTCTACTTACTTGGATCAGAAATAAACTAACCCAATAAGTAATCAATAAGTGGATTCTCTCTTGACCAGTCCACTTATCTAAGACATGTTTCTTGAATAGAACCTTCTTAGACACACAACCCAAATGCCTCTTCAAATTCAGAGGAAGATTCCAAACATACGTTATCAACACACATCTGCTATGCCATACCTTTGTCCAACAGAGTTCTGCACACTTTGTTAATGTGACGGTCCAACATCTAGTAGAGAATTCATTACTTTCCAATGAGCATATTATTGAGCTTGGTTCTGAAGTCATTATTACTCCCAGAAAATCAGAACATTCCTTGATCAACTTTCCTTCAGCACTCTTATCATCAACTGCCTTTGGAAGTGTCTTTATGAGTGGACTTGAGATGAACCTCAAGTATCTTCGGCAACTTTAAAAAGATGGTTGAAGCTACCTTCCAAGTATCACAATATCATAGGATAAACCTTCAGAAGAGACCAGATCACAATGCTTTTCCCTTACTGGTATTCCAATAATAGACCTTTGTAACGCCTCAACACCAGAGACACAAGGAATTACTAGAGGTTTTACATCAGATACACATGCAGCGAAACACAAACCAACAGCTCTTCAACATCCTTCAGGCACAACTTAATAACTCTTGAACACAAGCACTACAATCCATATCACAATAGAACAACATAAGTTTGAAAATAAATCAAACACAAAAATTAAAAACACAGCAGCACACCACCATAACAACATGCCCGACAACTTTAGACATATTCATTACTCACCATGTCACAAATACTCCCCTTTAAGGGACCATCCAAACAACAATACGAATTGTCCAAGTTCACACATCGGGAAAGATGTCATAACATTTGGTAAGACATCATACACACACATATCACCATCAGCAGTAGCAACAGAAGCACACTATAGCATTGGGAATAAAACAATCTTGACCATGTTCATGTGGTCTTCAACCTCTTGCCCCTATCAAATAGTCTCATGCACTTCTTGATTTTGTCATATGTTATAGGAGAGTTACCACTGAACTCCCTTGTCATCACCTCTGAATATTTCTTCTTCAAATCAACCCTTTGCAGATATCTTTTGATCATAAATCCAACAGTCTTGTCCATTGTACCAGAAAGTATCTTCCCTGAATCTCACCCAGAATCAAAGCAGGATGCCTGCTCTGATACCAATTGAAATTATGCTAGTCAGATATCAGATGTCCTAAGAGATGTCGAGACACTGACCTCTGAACAACAATGCAATGAATAATTTAACACAATTTTAAACAGTACAGAAAGTAAACAACACGCATAATTGTTAACCCAGTTCGGTATACAATAATACATACTCTGGTGGTTACCAAGCCAGGAAGAAAATTCACTAAATAGTATCAATTCAAAGCTAAACTCCCCCGTTTACAACTTCTCACTTGATCACTACCCGCTCTATAAGACTCACCTAGGTATGAGACCCTTCTCACTTCCTTTACAGTGACAACCAATGGCAAGAACACAATTCAAACAAGTTAGAAGATAAACTTCAAAAATACACAATCACTTTACACTTAAAAGCTTAAGAGTGATTGACAATCAAGAAGGAGACACACTCCAAAAAACAGAATTCATCCTTGCTTAAAAGCTTATAAGTGATTCACAATTACAACTCAACTAACAATCTAACTCAAATAACAAACAATACAAGAGTGACTCACAATAAACAGACGAAACCCTAAAGATTAATACTATTACAACTCTGAGTCGTGTGTTCTTTAGATAGAGTCTTCTTTTTATAACCTTTTTCTGAGCTGGATTGGACTTCAAAAATGCAGCAAAGAGGCTACACAAAGTCTGCTTAATCTTCTCCATGAAAATAGGTCTTCAATCATAACTTTCATAAAATGTCTCCACACTTAGAAAAATTGGATAACTTGAATACCAACATATATCTCTGATCTCAGTCTTGGATGCCACGTATGATTATAAATATTCCTAGAATGTTCACCTTTTGTAACAACTTAACATAATCTAAAAATCCAGCTATAATAGACACGATGACGAATGATTCTGCATAGGACATCTTATTCAACATGTTTCCTCTGCAAGTTAGAGCATCCTACTTAACTTGTTGCCTAATTTGTTTTACTAAAATTAATTTCAATCATAAAATAGAGAATTAACAATCTCTCCCTTTGACGAATTTTGACTAAAACAAATTAACAAATTACAATTCAGATTTCAGCAACAACAGATTTGAAAAATACAAAAATCAGAAATCCAGCGGTGATCATACACTCATCAAATATCTCTTTCAACTTGTGACATTAGCAGCAGAATCAGAGAGTTAGTCTTCATAAGCTACTAAACACATCAACATAGAGAAATAATATTCTTAGTCTGGTTGATGTCAGGATATATATATATATATATATATATATATATATATATATATATATATATATATATATATATATATATATATATATATATATATATATATATATATATATATATATATATATATATATTGTGTGACCCTTGCAAAAGCACAGGTAGATGATAATTTAATTGTTTTTTTTACTAAAATATATATTTTTGACGGACCGAGACTACTTAACTTATACATTATTATATACGTTTCTTAACCATCATTATACTATATTTATTTACTATTTATTACGATATTGTGCGATCGAGACTGCTTAATCTTAGAATGGCTGAAAAATAAAACAACTTTGTACCTGCATTTCGACTACAGCACTGGCTGTTCTTAAGAAAGTGGAAATACATGACAAAGTAAGGAATATAAATATAAGAGAAATTTCAGTTCCACTTTATTGAATTAAAAAGCAATGCAACATTACTTATTAATAGCAACTAGTATAGAATAGAATGCATAAGTTGCATGAAAATGTACGTTGAACACAATCACACATAACCATAAATTGCTAACAAAATTCACTAAATAACATATTAGTAAACTAAACACTCACACGTGTTAACAGCGAGACACTTCAGTTTCTTAACAACAGTGCATCAAGCTGAATACACTTCTCTTTTTCACAAATGACCTTAGAAACTTAGTTTAGCTTTAATATGTATTATGAGTGTCTAACACCTGAAATTCAAATAAAAAAGAAACATGCTATTATGATAAAAACAATTTATAACTCCATAAACGATTAATGAGTTATTTATGATTCAACATGCATAAAAAATCTCAATTATCTCACCAGTGAAAAAGGCCTTTTTGATTATGCTAAGCTCTCTGGTGACTTCCACAATACTCATTCTTTCATTTGGTGATTCCATTGAGCAAATAAGTCCAATCCTAAAGAGTGAAACAAAACACCCATCTAAAGTTTGAAGGAGATTGTCGCGATTTCGATCTTGTGTTTCTACTTCTGCATCTCTTGATACAAGATTTTTATCCAAAATCTTTATAAGATTATCAGGAAATGAATCTGCAACAAATTCATGCAGATTATGACCATCTTCCAGAACTTCATCAGTGGGTCTTCTGCCCGTAAGCATTTCTAACATAAGAATTCCAAAGCTATACATGTCACCACATGTGGACACTTCAGAACCCATTCCATACTCTATAACATGTAGAGAAATATGTTAATACCATCTCACTAGTAAAATATTTAGTCTACGCCAAAACATAGGAAAATATGTTAATACCTGGAGGAGCATAGCCAATGGTTCCTTTGATTCCAATTGTGCTAGTATTTGAATGAGATGTACCACCAATGGCTGAGACAAGTCTTGCTATGCCAAAATCACCCACATGAGCAACCATGTCATCATCAAGAAGGACATTGCTTGGCTTTAGATCACAATGAACGACCAATTGATGACATTCTTGATGAAGATAATGTAATGCTGAAGCAACATCGATGATGATGTTTAATCTATGACCAAGGTCCAATGTTATTGGATGCTCAACATTTAAAATTTCAGGATGCAACCACTGTTCTAAGCTTCCATTTTTCATGTACTCAAAAACTAGAGCTTTGAATTCTTGATTCTTGTAATCTGTACCAGAACAACATGTTAAAATCTTAACTAAGTTCCGGTGTCTGATGTTTTTGAGTACATTACATTCAACAATGAAACTCTTGTGTGCTCCTTTCTTTTGGAGGTTTAAGACCTTTACGGCAACAACATTATCTTCAGACACAAGATTTCCTTTGTACACAGAACCAAAACTTCCTGATCCGATCAAGTTTCTAGTCGAGAATCCATCAGTTCCTTGATATAATTCTTGGTACGAAACCTTAGCTAGGTGGTCAATTGTTGGTGAATCAGATGATTGTTTTTTGTTTCTTTTCTTCATGAAATAAATAGTTATAATAAATGACAGTATAAGAAAAGAGATCACACTAACTATCACTGCTACCAATCTGAGTTTATGATGTTTTGTGTGCTTCTTACTTTTGATAGGGCATGGTGGTAGATGCAGTTTTGAAATACCTCCACAAAGTTTATTGTTACCAATCAAAGCTATTTGGGTTGCATTTCCAAATACACCGTTTGTTGGCACCTGACCTTCCAACATGTTAAAAGAAACATTCAAATATTCTAAGCCGGAGATATTCTTCATAACCTCAGGAATTGGTCCATACAATTGATTACTGGAAAGGTCTAAATATCGGAGACCTTTGAGAGAAGCCAAAGAAGATGGTATTGTTCCATTGAAGGAGTTTCCTTGCAATTGAAGGCTTTCTAAGCTTAAACATTCACCAATAGTTTCAGGAATGTCACCAGACAAATGATTCTTAGAGACATCTAGTTCGTTGATATTTTTTAGCATACCAACTTCTTTTGGTAAGCTACCACTCAGTGAGTTTTTTGACAAATCCAAAGAATTTGTCAAAGAAGAAATACTAAAAATCTCTAAGGGTATGACTCCTGTCAGGTTGTTTTGTGAAAGGGTTAAGTATTGTAACATTTGACAATTTCCAATACTTGGAGGAATATATCCTTCCAACATATTGTCATCTAGTCCCAAAAAATACAACTGACTGAGATTGCCAATGGTTGCTGGTATATCCCCTGATAACCTGTTTCCACCCAATTCTAGCCTTTGTATCTTTTGAAACTTCCCAAAGGTTGTTGGAATTGTTCCTTCCAAATAGTTATCTTCCATGGCTAAGAGACTCAAGCTAATTAGATTTCCTAATTCTATAGGAATTTTTCCATATATTTGGTTACCTCCAATATAAAATAGACCAAGTACGGTGGATAAATTACCTATAGAATTTCCCAAACGACCTCCAAAATTATTATAAGATACACAGAGTGTTTTCAAATTACTAGAGTTTGTCAATGATTTTAAAAAATCCAAATCTATTGTTGAATTGTCGCCGATATTGTTGAGAGCCAAATTGATCCACCAAAGACTTTGTATCATCCCTAGATTTGGAACTTGTCCGAAAAAATGATTTTTACTTATATCAAACACTCTCAAAGTAGAAGAATTTGAAATGGAAATAGGGATTAAACCTGAGATTTGATTCCCTCCAATGCCAAAGTATTTGAGATTGAGAAGGGTGTGGAACATATTGGATGGAAGAGAGCCAGTAAAGTTATTAACTCCAGCTGAGAACATAGTAAGAGATGAAATATTACAAAGACAAGAGGGAAATGCACCAGACAATTTGTTGACATACACTGTTAGTTTCTTCAACTGTTTTAGGTGGCACATTTCTTGTGGAATATTTCCCTCCAAGTTATTATAACCGGTCTTTAAAATAACAAGGGATGAAAGATTCCTTATGGATAGCGGGATTTTTCCAGAGAAATTGTTTCTACCAATAAACATATATTGAAGCTTTTGAAGAGAGCCAATTTGACTAGGTATTTTTCCAATAAGATTGTTTCCGGCTAAGTGTACTCCTTTGAGCTCAGAGCACTTTGTCAAGTTCAGAGGAAATTCTCCATCCAACGAGTTGTTGAGTAGAAGGAGAAACCTTAATCGTGACAAACGACCAAATTCTTGTGGAATGTTTCCGTTGAAGCTGTTGTTTTCAAGGTTGAGGAACCTCATATGAGAGAGATTGCCAACATATGGAGATATGGATCCATGCAAATTGTGTCCTTGCAACATCAAGGTTGTTACTCTTTGATGCTTGGGACTACATATGATTCCATTCCATTTGCAAAAGTGGGTTGAACTGTTCCAAGAATCTAAGATCCCATGAGGATCACTAGATATCAACTGCTTGAATTGGAGTAATGCCAAATGATCGGTTTGGTTTCCTAGTGCTATTGTGACGGTTGTGTTTGGGTTTAAGAACATTAAGGATAAGGTAAAGAGATGAAGGTATAAATACAAAGACATGGGTAACAAGAAAATATAAGGCTTCATTTGGTTCAAGAACAGGAGGGTGTTTGATAATTAGGTTTGGGGAATACTAGATGCAACATGCTATATTAGAAAAATAAAAATATAAAATGTCATCAAAAGTCAATTTAATTGATTAAACAAAAAAAAGTAGCACCGCATATGGGAGCAAAAGTGAAGTGATAGTGCTGTGTGATAATTATTTGGAAATTTTGCAACCAAACTTTCTAGATGCAACATGTAGTGGAAAATGTAAAATCAAAAGTAAAGCCAATTGATTGAACAAGATAATATAGACAACCACCTCTTAAATAATAGGATGGATTTTAGCTGGCACCTTTTGTTAGATATTTAGGGTGTGATAATCCTAGATAACTTCGAAGAATCGTGTTCGTACACTTTCCGAATAAAGTATTTCGACCCTATTCTTGCCTGTGTTCACGAAATCTTTGTGGGGATAATTCTCGAAGAAATTATGTTTCCGACAAAAGAAAACGAATTGTAATTATAGAGAGAAGGATGCGTTTTTTTTCTGTGTACGAGACCGAGGCCGAACGACTCCTTATATAGGAGAACAGTAATTGAAAACGAAGAGACATATTTGTTCGAAACGAATATGTCAGTTGGGAAACAGTTATGTCCGTTGGGGAAAGGATTCAATCATTTTCATTAAAATTAGGAATTAAATCATTTTTAGACATTTCATGCATTCTTTTATAGTGTACATGTCCTAGACGAGCATGCCATAACGAAAAATTAATAACATTTGACGAGGACATAAAAACAGAACCAGAATCATTAGGAACTCCATTCAAATTCATCATAAACATACCATTATTATAATATCCAAATCCTACAAACACACCAGACTTCAATAATACATATTTATCGGATTCACACACTTGCTTGTATCCAAGCTTGTTTAATACAGGACCAGAAATTAAATTCTTACGTAATTTAGGAACATACAATACATTAAACAAAGTAATAGTCTTTCCAGAACTGAATTCTAGCACCACGTTTCCTTTGCCTTCAACGGGAGCGAAGTGATCATCTCCCATGTAGAGGACAGAACCATCTTCCACTGGAACAAGAGTCTTGAACCAGAAACGATCCTTGCAAACATGTGTTGTGGCACCAGAATCAATCCACCACGCGGCAGCATCATCCTGCACATAAAATGCTTCAGAATTTAGTGAAACCGAATGTTTAATCAAACTATTGAAATCACGAATTGATTTCTGACCTTGGTTTTCGGAGTGGTCCTTAGACCCCTTTCCTGAACCACTTGCATTCGCGTTGTCGTTCTTTTTACCGAAACGACAGTCCTTCTTGAAGTGGCCTGTTTTGCCACACTTCCAGCATTCTAGTTTTGGTTTCTTATTATTACCGAAACCTCCCTGTTTGTTCTTGAAGGCACGCTTCTTTCCTTTGTTTTTGTTGTAATCGTTCTTACCACCCTCTTCGACCATATTAACCGAGGGTCCAGCAATTCCTTTGCCTTTTCCTTTGTCATCTTCATGCGCTCTTAGAGATTCTTCTATGCGCAAATGACTTCCAAGTTGGATCAAAGACAGTTCGTCTTTTCCATGTTTCAGATTGTGTTTGAAATCCTTCCACGAAGGAGGCAATTTGTCTATGATGCTTGAGACATATATTGTTTCATCCATATTCAATCCATGTTGTGTGAATTGTCCAAGGATTCGGAGGAGTTCATTGAATTGTTCCATGACAGACCTCGATTCAACCATTTTGTAATTGTTAAAATCGGTTACCAGAAACTTTTTAGTGGATGAGTCCTCTGCCATGTACTTGGATTCGAGTTGATCCCACAATTCTTTTGCAGATTCCACGTTTTGGTAAATATCAAATAAGGGATCAGACATACCGTTAAGAATGTGCCCTCTGCATATGTAGTCGTCGTTCTCCCACTTTGATCTGCGTCTTATATCTTCGACTGATTCATCCTCATGAGGTTCTGGAATCGGTGTAGACAGGACGTGTACCACTTTCAAGGTTGTCAACATGAAGTGCATCTTCTTCTGCCAACGCCTGAAATCTTGTCCTTGAAACTTGTCCAATTTTCCGAAGTTTGTTGTCATCTCCTTTATGGTGCTTCCTCCATCCATGATTATCAGAAAAATACTTTGTTCCTTTGTTAGATATTTAGGGTGTGATAATCTTGGATAACTTCGAAGAATCGTGTTCGTACACTTTCCGAACAAAGTATTTCGACCCTATTCTTGCCTGGGTTCACGAAATCTTTGTGGGGATAATTCTCGAAGAAATTCTGTTTCCGACAAAAGAAAACGAATTGTAATTATAGAGAGAAGGATGCGTTTTTTTTCTGTGTACGAGACCGAGGCCGAACGACTCCTTATATAGGAGAACAGTAATTGAAAACGAAGAGACATATTTGTTCGAAATGAATATGTCAGTTGGGAAACAGTTATGTGTGTTGGGGAAAGGATTCAATCATTTTCATTAAAATTAGGAATTAAATCATTTTTAGACATTTCATGCATTCTTTTATAGTGTACATGTCCTAGACGAGCATGCCATAACGAAAAATTAATAACATTTGACGAGGACATAAAAACAGAACCAGAATCATTAGGAACTCCATTCAAATTCATCATAAACATACCATTATTATAATATCCAAATCCTACAAACACACCAGACTTCGATAATACATATTTATCGGATTCACACACTTGCTTGTATCCAAGCTTGTTTAATACAGGACCAGAAATTAAATTCTTACGTAATTTAGGAACATACAATACATTAAACAAAGTAATAGTCTTTCCAGAACTGAATTCTAGCACCACGTTTCCTTTGCCTTCAACGGGAGCGAAGTGATCATCTCCCATGTAGAGGACAGAACCATCTTCCACTGGAACAAGAGTCTTGAACCAGAAACGATCCTTGCAAACATGTGTTGTGGCATCAGAATCAATCCACCACGCGGCAGCATCATCCTGCACATAAAATGCTTCATAATTTAGTGAAACCGAATGTTTAATCAAACTATTCAAATCACGAATTTATTTCTGACCTTGGTTTTCGGAGTGGTCCTTAGACCCCTTTCCTGAACCACTTGCATTCGCGTTGTCGTTCTTTTTACCGAAACGGCAGTCCTTCTTGAAGTGGCCTGTTTTGCCACACTTCCAGCATTCTAGTTTTGGTTTCTTATTATTACCGAAACCGCCCTGTTTGTTCTTGAAGGCACGCTTCTTTCCTTTGTTTTTGTTGTAATCGTTCTTACCACCCTCTTCGACCATATTAACCGAGGGTCCAGCAATTCCTTTGCCTTTTCCTTTGTCATCTTCCTGCGCTCTTAGAGATTCTTCTATGCGCAAATAACTTCCAAGTTGGATCAAAGACAATTCGTCTTTTCCATGTTTCAGATTGTGTTTGAAATCCTTCCACGAAGGAGGCAATTTGTCTATGATGCTTGAGACAGATATTGTTTCATCCATATTCAATCCATGTTGTGTGAATTGTCTAAGGATTCGGAGGAGTTCATTGAATTGTTCCATGACAGACCTCGATTCAACCATTTTGTAATTGTTAAAATAGGTTACCAGAAACTTTTTACTGGATGAGTCCTCTGCCATGTACTTGGATTCGAGTTGATCCCACAATTCTTTTGCAGATTCCACGTTTTGGTAAATATCAAATAAGGGATCAGACATACCGTTAAGAATGTGCCCTCTGCATATGTAGTCGTCGTTCTCCCACTTTGATCTGCGTCTTATATCTTCGACTGATTCATCCTCATGAGGTTCTGGAATCGGTGTAGACAGGACGTGTACCACTTTCAACGTTGTCAACAGGAAGTGCATCTTCTTCTGCCAACGCCTGAAATCTTGTCCTTGAAACTTGTCCAATTTTCCGAAGTTTGTTGTCATCTCCTTGATGGTGCTTCCTCCAGCCATGATTATCAGAAAAATACTTTGTTCGTTTGTTAGATATTTAGGGTGTGATAATCCTGGATAACTTCGAAGAATCGTGTTCGTACACTTTCCGAACAAAATATTTCGACCCTATTCTTGCCTGGGTTCACGAAATCTTTGTGGGGATAATTCTCGAAGAAATTCTGTTTCCGACAAAAGAAAACGAATTGTAATTATAGAGAGAAGGATGCGTTTTTTTTCTGTGTACGAGACCGAGGCCGAACGACTCCTTATATAGGAGAACAGTAATTGAAAACGAAGAGACATATTTGTTCGAAACGAATATGTCAGTTGGGAAACAGTTATGTCCGTTGGGGAAAGGATTCAATCATTTTCATTAAAATTAGGAATTAAATCATTTTTAGACATTTCATGCATTCTTTTATAGTGTACATGTCCTAGACGAGCATGCCATAACGAAAAATTAATAACATTTGACGAGGACATAAAAACAGAACCAGAATCATTAGGAACTCCATTCAAATTCATCATAAACATACCATTATTATAATATCCAAATCCTACAAACACACCAGACTTCGATAATACATATTTATCGGATTCACACACTTGCTTGTATCCAAGCTTGTTTAATACAGGACCAGAAATTAAATTCTTACGTAATTAGGAACATACAATACATTAAACAAAGTAATAGTCTTTCCAGAACTGAATTCTAGCACCACGTTTCCTTTGCCTTCAACGGGAGCGAAGTGATCATCTCCCATGTAGAGGACAGAACCATCTTCCATTGGAACAAGAGTCTTGAACCAGAAACGATCCTTGCAAACATGTGTTGTGGCACCAGAATCAATCCATCACGCGGCAGCATCATCCTGCACATAAAATGCTTCAGAATTTAGTGAAACCGAATGTTTAATCAAACTATTCAAATCATGAATTGATTTCTGACCTTGGTTTTCGGAGTGGTCCTTAGACCCCTTTCCTGAACCACTTGCATTCGCGTTGTCGTTCTTTTTACCGAAACGACAGTCCTTCTTGAAGTGGCCTGTTTTGCCACACTTCCAGCATTCTAGTTTTGGTTTCTTATTATTACCGAAA